GGGGCTTCATATGGACCAAATTATCCACTTTCACCACTTTATCCATTTCTAACGATACCTGTTACTGCTGAGTCAATTCCAACTCATAGTAATCCTATAGGACATTACAGAACTGCCCCATAGGGTTCCTGGTAGACTCGAACTGCTGATGTTTTGGTTAGCAGCCAAGCTCTTAACCACTGCACCACCAGGGCTCCTCTAATAATGATAGTGTTCTAAAGCCTCATAGAACCTCATATTTCTCTCTGCTGTGAGAATCCATTTTCTTTTTTTAGAATCCATCTTATCTTATCCCTTTACAGCTAGACTCTGAAAAAGACTGAGGTTTAAGAATCAAACTCAATTTGGCTTTTCCAAGTCATACAATGAGATCCAAACTCCTATTAAATGATACACCTTTACAGAAACTGATTTTCAATCACCTCCACAACTTCTTTTTTTTAAAGTCAAGGAGTCTTCATTTCAAATGAAAGCTTAGGAGGAAACCCTATACAGGTAGTCCCTGACTTACGATGTATTCAAGTAACGATGAACCGCACTTATGATCGTCCGTTTTCGTTTTTTTTTTGTAGTACATACAATGTTGCAGCGTGTTATTTGCTGATGTTATCATTCTCAGATGTCCACTTGCAGATATTTATATGTAATGTTTCCAACCCCCAGAGACAAATAAAGATCAGATTTATAAAGATACTGCTAATAAAAGACAACAATGAGAACTAAAAAAAAAAAAAAAGAAGCATCTGACTTATGTTAGAACCAACTTAAGACAGAGTTGTTGGAATAGAACCCTGTCATAAGTTGGGGACTACCTGTATATAACAGATTTAACTGAAGCATCTCTACTTGAGGAATAAAAAAGACATGAGCGATAAGACGACATGTATCCTACCTACTCAGCCCCTGCATTAGCCCTTGACTTCACAGAAACCCTCAGAACAAGGCTAAAGCTTGATTTACTGTTTGACAGTATCGATTAGAATTATGTACACCAAGCAATTCTCTAGTCCAGAACTATTTTTTGTATACGCTAAATGCATTGTTGGCTTCAAAAGTGTGGTTCCTTAAAGTAGTGAGGATGATTCACTTGAAAAAGAAGTACTTTGTTTCATGAGTGAGTTGTATAAAACTGCAGAGAAATAAAATAAGTTGTATCATACTATACATTGTCTTAAAGAACTCTCAAATTGGACACAGAAAGCCATGTTAAAGGGAAATATTTTCAACTAAATTTTCCAAATACTTTGGTTGACCTTTATCAATGGCCATATGCCAAATTGAGGGTATTCATCTTCTTTCTAAGTCTGTTTCTTCATACTAATTTGACATGTCAATATCCATTTCCTGATTTTAAACACAAAGTAAAATTGTCACAATGACAACCAAAATAACACTTAATCAAAAAGTTAGTCTGTAACCTTGAAGATACACAAATGATTTCTAAAATAAGCCTTACGGAAGACCAAAAGTACATTTTATACTTCATCAGAGCACCTTCCTAGAAATAAAGTTAATATTTTAAAATAAAGGCAGTACCTAATTCATAAAGCAAAAAAAAAAAAAAACCAGAATGAGAAAAAGTACACATATAACATTTTATAATAATTACCTGTGTTGACTGTATTACTGTAAGGTCATTAATATAGCAAAACCCTGCTCCCATGGCAGAACGAAGTCCTGCAGTCCCAAAGGTCATCCGGCAACAAAGACGATCTCGAAGTTCCTTGTTCATTCCATTCCGTAACAGATTTTCAATTTGCTCTTTTGTTTTGGGATTCTATAAAAAAGAAGCATTAAAACTTAATCAGGATCATAAGCCAAACCAAAAAAACCTGTTGCTATCGAGTTGATTCCAACTCACAGAACCCTACAGGACAGAGTAGAACTGCTCCATAGGGTTTCCAAGGAGCACCTGGTGGATTCAAACTGCCAACCTTTTGGTTAGCAGCTGTAGCTGTCAACCACTACACAACCAGGTTTCCAGGATCATAAGCAGAGTCCTAATATTAAGCCTTTCTGAGGCAACAATAAGCATTATGCATATATCACAAGGTTCAACATTCACTAAAAATTCCACAGTGCAACTTATTAATATTAGTATGTATAATAAAAATAGTAGCTGCCATTTACTGAGTCCCCAAAGGAGCCAGGATCTATTGAAGATGATTTACATATCTCTAATTGTCATATTTTTATAAAAGGCACACACTAACAAATACACAGCCTACATAAAAATATGAATATCCATTAAGAAAAAAATTTAAACAAGATTATTTCGGCTACTATCATATTATTTTAACGACTAAGATACCATCAGATTTGATAGTGAGGTCAAAGAGACTTGAAGAGATTTAACACTAAAAGGCACAAGACTGGCAAAAATGAAAATACCTGAAAATCTTCAGTACTATAGATGGTACCCACCACATGTCTGTCAGTTTCTCATATTGTGGAGACTTCTGTGTTGCTATGATACTGGAAGGTTTGCCACCGGTATTTCAAAAACAGGCAGGGTCACGTTTGGTTGACAGGTTTCAGTGGAGCTTCCAGACTAAGACAGACTAGGAAGAAGAACGTGGCAGTCTACTTCTGATAAAATTGGCCAGTGAAAACCTTATGAATAGCAGCAGAACATTGTCTGATATAGTGTCGGAAGACTAGCTTCTCAGGTTGAAAGACACTCAGAATACGACTGGGGAAAGAACTGCCTCCTCAAAGCAGAGTTGACCTTAACGATGTGGATGGAGTCAAGCATTCAGGACCTTCATTTGCTGATGTAGCACAACTCAGAATGAGAAGAAATAGCTGCACACATCCATTAGTAATCGGAATGTGGAATGTACAAAGTATGAATCTAGGAAAACTGGAAGTTGTCAAAAATGAAATGGAACACATAAAGATCGATATCCTAGGCATTACAGGGCTGAAATGGACTGGTACTGGCCATTCTGAATCAGACAATCATACCGTCTATTATGCTGGGAATGAACTTGAAGAGGAATGGCACTGCATTCATCATCAAAAAGAACATTTCAAGATCTATCCTGAAGTACAACACTGTCAGTGATAGGATAATATCCATACACCTACAAGGAAGTGCAGTTAATATGATTATTATTCACATTTATACACCAACTACTAAGGCCAAAGATGAAGAAATTGAAGATTTTTACCAACTTCTGCAGTCTGAAATTGATCAAATATGCAATAAGGATGCATTGATAATTACTGGTGATTGGAATGCGAAAGCTGGAAACAAAGAAGATGGATTGGTAATTGGAAAATATGGCCTTGGTGACAGAAACGATGCTGGAGATCGCATGACAGAATTTGGCAAGACCAACGACTTCTTCATTGCAAATACCTTTTTTTCAACAACATAAACAGCGACTATACACATAGACCTCGCCAGATGGAATACACAGGAATCAAATAGACTACATCTGCGGAAAGAGATGATGGAAAAGCTCAATATCATCGGTTAGAAAAAGGCCAGGGGCTGACTGCAGAACAGACCCTCAATTGCTCATATGCAAGTTCAAGTTGAAACTGAAGAAAATTAGAACAAGTCCACAAAAGCCAAAGTACGACTCTGAGTATAACCCACCTGAATTTAGAGACCATCTCAAGAATAGATTCGACGCACTGAACACTAATGACTGAAGATCAGACGAGTTGTAGGATGACATCAAGGACATCAGACATGAAGAAAGCAAGAGGTCATTAAAAAGACAGGAAAGAAAGAAAAGACCAAAATGGATGTCAGAAGATACTCTGAAAAACTTGCTCTTGAACGTCAAGTAGCTAAAGCAAAAGTAAGAAATGATGAAGTAAAAGAGCTGAACAGAAGATTTCAAAGGGCAGCTCAAGAAGATCAGGGCTGTGACCTGAGTAGGGGTATTGCATCCCACCCTAATCCTCTTTAACATAACCTACTGGGTGGTTTAAAATCAGGGAACTGTGTGTCAGGTATTCTTTCACCACACTTATTCAATCTGTATGCTGAGCAAATAATCCGAGAAGTTGGACTAGATGAAGAAGAACGTGGCATCAGGATTGGTGGAAGACTCATTAACAACCTGTGAAATGCAAATGATACAACCTGGACTTGCTGAAAGGGAAGAGGACTTGAAGCACTTACTGATAAAGATCACAGGCTTCAGTACAGATCACAGGTGAATACATTTTACCTCATAACCTAGTCTCCTTTCTCACCCACAGAAGCTATTAATAAGATCTGAATGTATAAAATATATATTAGAGATGTTTTCTCAAATATAATTTATTATTTGGTTTTTAAATGTGCTCTCTCATTCACAATTCATTCATTACTTGACGTAGGAGAGGCCTAGTCATCAAAAAAAGAAGAAAATTGTTCAACCTATGCCAACTACAAAAAAGCACCTCTAAAATTATAAGTCAATATGAAAGTGATTTGATTTATATCCATTTTAGAAATATACTTACTGGTCTACTACAAAAAATTAAAATTTTTTTATTTAGAAAGCAAATGCATTGAATCTGAACTAAATTTGCTATTAACTAACACATCATAGAATCCTAATAATTTTAGTACCCAAAAAAAGTAATCTTGCAGACAACCTAAAGAGATTTTAGTGACTGCTAGTATTTTCTGTACTTTATAAGAAATAAGGCTGATTGTTTAGTATGAGATCAGTAAGCTAAAGAATACAGAATTAAAGCCATGCATTATATTTAAATTTTACCTGTATACCAAAAATTTTCCTTTAGGTTCTAATCCTATGGATTGCTGCAACTTTACATGGCTGAAATGAAGAAAAGAAAGTGTCTTCTTACATAATACTCCATGGGGTTTTAGTTTTTCCATATTGTAGGACCATAAAGCCCAAATTCAAAGAAAACATGAAAGAACTGATTAAAAACAAAACAAAACAAAACAAACCATTTTAAGCATACAGAAGAGCCTCTTTTAACTTCTTACAAACTTTCATAGATGTGAAGAAAGCTACACACTAGACCAAAATCACACCAACTCTGCCTGCCATCATATAAAAGTATTAGCATTCACTTATGAAAGATCATTTTAGATTTACCCCAAGCTTTTCTGAACCTATTAAATTCGTAATTAGGGGGCTTCTGCATTATTTATGCATAAAATATGAGAAAAAAGTAATTAATCATCATTATATAAAACAAATTAAGTTTGCCAATGAGACGTTTACCTGTAAATCTTCTTTCCTACTTCTTTGATAAACCTAGTATTTTTATATAACTTGAATCTATCAATATTCTAGTATTAAACCTAACAGCTTAAAAACAATCTAAAACATGAACCTCACTGTTTAAAAGATTAGAACAGATTTAGAAGAACATAACATATATTAATAACCCCAAATCCTATTATTGTTACATATCTAAAGAGGAACCAATATGCAAAATTGACTCTTAAATAAGTTAAATACATCTAAAATTGCAAAACCATAAATATTTTTTAATGTTACTGACAGATTTGGTCTAAACAATAAATACCACTTTTCTGTAACTACAGAGAAAATTGTTTAAAGTTTATTTCTAAACAAAAGTTAAAAAAAGAAACTGCAATCTGAAAATCTGAAGGGTAAACACAACTGACATTTACTTCTGAGGGTCAGCCAGATGAAGATCCAAGACTAGAGTCCAGAAGCAGAACATGATTTCCAAACCAGATACTTCTTTACTGAGTTCAAAATGTACTCGTGCAGAATAAATCATTCTTTCCCATTTAAAGGATCTTTATGTAAATTATAAATTTAATTTCCTTATCTTTAAAAAGAAGGTGGATGGTGGAGGAACATCTTGGAAAAGTAAGGTGAGAATGGTTGCACAACTTGAAGAATGTAATCAACGTCACTGAATTATACATGTAGAAACTGTTAAATTGGTATTTTTTTTTAACTTTCATATTCATTATTTATTTCTAAATTTTATTTATTTTGTTGTTGTTGAGATAAACACACAGTAAAACATACACCAATTCAACATATACAATTTAGTGACATTGATTATATTCTTCGAGTCGTGCAACCATTCTCACCCTCCTTTTCTGAGTTGCTTCTCCCGCATTAACATAAACTCACTGCCTCCTAAGGTTCCTATCTAATCTTTCGAGTTGCTGTTGTCATCTTGATCCCATAGAGAGAGTTCTTAAAATTGCATAATGCTCAAGGTGGACCTTTGTTACTAGTTAAGCTAAATATTGTTCAGTTTTAAGATGACTTCAGGGGATATTTTTGGTTTACAGTTTAAAGATTATCTCAGGACAATAGTTTTAGGGCTTCATTAAACCATCATGGCTCCAGGAAGTCTGGAGTCCATGAGCATTTAAAATTCTGTTCTGGATTTTCCCTCTTTTGATCAGGATTCTTCTATGGAATCTTTGATCAAAATGTTCAGTAATGGTAGCCGGGCACCATCCAGTTTTTCTGATGTCATGACAAAGAAGGCAGTTGTTCATGGAGGCAATTAGCCACACATTCCATATCTTCCTCCTATTCCTGACTCTCCTTCTTCCTCTATTACTCCAGGTGAATAGAGACCAATTGTTGTGCCTCGGATGGTTGCTTGCAAGCTTTTAAGACCCCAGGCACTACACAACAAACCAGGAGGTAGAATAGAAGCATTAAACATGTTATTAGGCCAATTAATGGGATGTCCCATGAAATCATGACCTTAAACCTCCAAACCAAGGAATTAAATCCCATGAGGTGTTTGGTTGTACATAAGCAGCCTCAGCAGCTACAACTTTTTTTTTTTTGG